CTTTACGTGTCCTTGTAATTCGGATTAAGCATTTATTCCCTAATCCAGATCACACGTTATTAATAATTGTATATATTATAATGACATATACATAATATTATATATATAGTTTGCTATATTTATGTTATATAATTTATTTTTCTTTATGTTATTTAATTTATGGACTAATTTAATAAACAATAGATTATTGTCAATTATTCTTTATTTGTTGTTAAAATAAATATAAAATAAATAAAATAAAAATAAATATATATTAGGGCTTTTCCTAGATTTCTAATGATTACCGTATTAATGTCTCAATATTTCAGGTTAACAATTTTAATTAACTCCCGATTAACCGTAATTTTCACGAAATCGGATTTATAAAGTTTTAACGTGTTATTGAACAATACAATAACAACTTAATGGACTCACTCTATACGGCTCCAAAAGCGGCTCACCACTTCTAAAAATGCTTTCCAGTTGTAAGAAAGCAGAGCCTATGTTTCAAAGTCTTGTGTTACACATTTACACTAATTCAGTGCAACTCAGAATACTACTTATATATTTTAATGCTTCAGATAATTTATATATGAAGAAAGAAAAATTAAGAACTTTGTTACTTTGAACTTTGAATATTATTGCAACGGGCATCAAAAGCCTGGACTAATTTTAAGTAAAGAAAAAAATGCCCACACTTACCTATCATTGTATTAGTAAATTATTTATATTATAAATATGCATGCACTTATAAAGAATTAATATGTTATAAAAAATTCTAATATAGAATTTATGATTCTTAAAGAAAATATTTATTGCAAATTAACTAGCAAATTAAACATTTATCAAATCAACATATATATCTTTTCATCATTCATTTTTATCATCATAATCAGCCATATCCGTGTCTGTAGGCAACTGCTTACTAGAAATGGTGATAGCAATATGCAATCCCTTTTCTATGTCAGTAGCCGATTCGGTGGAAGAATCCGATTCAGTGCCAGAATCCGAATTAGTGGAAGAATCCGATTCATTTACCTTGTTATCATCATCCATATTCATCTCTGTGTCTGTAACCAACTCGCAATCAATATCGAAGACCATTTCTACTAATTCATTATCCGTATCAGTATCAGATTCAGTGGAATAATAAGCGGATTCTTCTACTGTCAAGTAACCGTCCTATATATATATATGTATTAGTAGTCGTTAAATAAATTATAAAACTCAAATTATTACTTTAGTCTCTATGAAGTCTTTTTTACACAATGGACAACGATATCTGCCTCTCTTTTTTTTATTGGCATACGAAACCAAGTTCTTCAAACATATATTGCAAAAATCATGACCACAATTCAGTTGAACCATGTCGACAACTTTGTTTTGGCAGATGACGCAAAAAAGTTCAGTTTCGTCCATGTTTGGTTTTACCAGAGCTGAAAATGATTTGTTCAAGAAAGTATTCGAAATATTAATTTCTAAAGTAATTTATTTAACTTAATTACTTCCTTTCGATTAGAAGACATATATATTTTTTAAAAAAATAAAGTGAATCTCTAAAGTAATAGTAGCAGCAAACAATAAAACTTCACTTCTTTACGAATTTTCAAAAAATGGTATTAGTCATATATTGATTTACATATTAATGATAAATTAATTTATTAGACGAATTTTGGGATAATTTAATCAAAGCTGATGCAATGATACAATGTGAAATTTCAATGTAACTATCCTTTGATGTGATCACTATCCACGTTAGTATTTGCATTACAGAAAAAATATAAAAGCTTATTTTATTGAAGTTTTGTAGTGTACATTTTGTTAATTTATTGTTATTATAATAAAAAAATAAAAACAATTATTCGAATTTAATGTTATTATAATAAAAAATATAAAAACAAACAGTATATTTTAGGCATTAGGTTTGGGCAGAGGTTTTATCAGACATAGGAAATGAGTAACAACCCAAAAAAAAAAATGAATTATCTATACTATAATTACAAAAAATAGAATTTATTTAAACTTTTTACTTATTTCTACTAACAGCTGATTAACAGAAAAATATATTTATTTATTCTTTTTCAACAAAAAATTATTGTTTTTTTTACTCTACAACGTATAAACGCAATAAAAAAATATACATTAAAAAAAGGATTAAAAAGAAAGATCTAAAAAAATAAAACTAAAGGAGAAAAAAGAAAAATATCAAAATTTTTTGTTAAATAACAAAATAAAAGAAACAAATTAAAAAAATAAAATATATAACGAATCATACAAAACTAATTAAGAAAAGAGAGTATAAGACGAACTAAAAAACCAAAATTAAAAATAACAAACATAGGAGAAAAAAAAAATATGACACAAATAAAACCAAATAAAATATGCCGCCATATAACTCATGATTCACAAGAGAGTCAAAATAATATAAATTTAATTAAAGGCACAAAAAAAATAAAAACAAATTAAAAAAGTAAAAAAAAAAAATAAAAACAAATTAAAAGAGTAAAAAAAGTAAAAATAAATCCAAAAAGTAGGTTAGCTTAGGTTACTGGGGCCATCCGAAGACCCACTTAGACCATGAGGTCGATTGTAATACCCTAAAGAATCAAATAAGTAAAAAAAAAATAAAAAAAATAAAAAAATGAAAAAAAAAAAAATAAAAACAAATTAAAAAGCAAAAAACGGAGGACATTAGCATTACTGCAATTAGCAACTATTCTGAGGTCTGTTTTTACATACCAAATTGTGACCGAAGACATGGTACTAAATATCAGTCGAACATAACCTAAAAATTTAGCAGGCACAGAATGGAAAATAAGTTGGCCAATAAAGCAGTAACAAAACATCACTTTAAATGAGCTAAACATAAAAACGCTAATACATCCAATATGGCAACGAAATCAGGACGCCAAAACAACACAAAAATGGATATGATACCCAAACATACCAAAGGGTCAGATAGTTAGATAAAAGAGCAAAAAGTTAAAAATAGCCAAAATTTTGATAAAAAAAAATAATCTTTTTTCCCCTTAACAAAGTATTTCAACTAATCACGCCGAATAAGTTATTCAGAAATCTATATAGTATATATATATTAGTATTAGCTAATTTTAACAAGATGGCGACCTTTATAACCAAGCAAATTTTTTATATAAAGAAAGAATATATTTTTTTATCCATTTTGTAATAAACATTAATTGACTTACCTCGTGTTTTGTTTAGAATGAAGAAAAAGAAAAAAGCTGGAAGAAGAAATTAGCAAGAATTCTGTCTCTGCGCTGAAAGCTGAATTTCTTGGAAGCAGCCTCACCTTACTTATATTGACTGAAAAAAGTAATTATAAATCCAATTATCCCTTTTTCAGTAAAGAAAGATCAGTAATCACGAAATACAAGAGAAGTAAGATCTTTGCCACGAAATACAACAATTCACCAAATAATATTATTAAGTTAATTATTTTCCATGAAACTCAAATTTACGCTACTACACTGCACTCTATCTGTATTCAACAAGAAGCAAATAGTGTCTCACAACTTGTGTTATTCAAAATTTTCTTTTGTTCTTCTTTCGCTGTAAATCGAAACATCGATATCAAAGAATACCTATTCTTTGATCGAAAAGGTAATGAAATAGTACAATTCTGAATAAATTATGGCGAATTCGAATGAAATAGTGCAATTTCTGAATCAAATGGCAATGACAATTGTTTACTAAAATCATTTGTAATATAATTAAAATATTAATAACTGAAATAATTATAATGCACAGCGAATATAAAAAATAATTTTTTAAATAAATTTTAAAAGCATTTGCAAATAAAAATTTAATACATCTTTACGAGAGTTGTCAATCGATAGCATCCAAGCTTTAAAACTAATTTGAAGGCTTTAAAACAATACCTAAAAACGATATTTCTTTATTTATACACTTTTAAATTAGTTCCTTATAATAAACATGTTAGCTATATATATACGATTCACGTATCATAGATTTCTGTTATCATAATCTGTTATATCGCGAGATAATAAAAAAAAACTAAAACTAGTTACTTGACCTTAATCCAAAATGAAAATTTAATATACATGTATATTATTATTATATAAATATTATAATAATATAAAAAAAATTAAATAATTTATATTTATATTTATTTAAACATATGCTATAGTCACAGCTATTTTGACTATAGCTTATGCCAAACTAGAATTGCTAAGTCATGTTATACCGCCGATCCTAAGAAACCACTTAGGTTTATTAGCTAAGTGGACAATTGTGTTGCATTATAAGTTCTTAAAGGTTCACAAACCTAATTGAAACTGAAATTGTCACAACTTATTAGAAATTTTTTACAGATTTTTTTTCAAGTGTACACGGCGAATTCGCACAGCAAGAATCATTCTAATCAAAAGAAAAGAAAATAAATATGGCGTTTAAACTTTTATAGTTTTACATTTAAATATTTTGTAATAATTTGTTACCGGGCTAATTGGTCAAATTTTAATATAAATAAAAAGACACCAATTTATTATTTATATTTAAAAATCGTTTATATTTTATTTCCGATATTTCGACTATCTTCGATAGTCATCTTCAGGGAAAACTACACAAAATATAGGATGTTCACATTTTTATAGCGGATTATAAAGAAAAATCGTACAATAAATACAATAATAATGATGACAACAAGAGAAAAAAAACAACAATAAAAATACAAAAGAAAAATTAAAATTATAAAAAAAAAAATTTATAAAAAAAACAAAAAAAAGCTTTACAAACATCCTGTGTCATTTGTTTATAATATTCCTATAAGCCTGAGCACAGTTGTCCGTATCAGTTTTATAATTGAGTCTTATATTATTGGGCACTTGAAGTATTGAGAGCATTTCTAGAAAGTACCTCTTATTATGGTTCCTTTCTTCATATAAAATTTTTGCCTTATCAAAATCAGGTTCATGTTTATGCTCCATACAATGCACAGCCAATGCTGTATTGGCTTCAGCACCACTTTTATTTTTTAAACTGTGTTTATGTCCAGCCATCCTTGTCCTAAGCTTATTTTTAGTCGTACCTATATATATTTTGTTACATACATTGTACCCGTCACCTTTACAATTCAGCTGGTACACTACATTAGATTTGTCTTTATTATTAATTTTAGTTTTCGTATTGCTATATAATTTAGCTATTGTGTTTGTTGCCTTATGAGTAATTTTATAACGTTCCTTGTCATATATACTAGAATTAATTATTTGGTTCGACAATTTCGGAACATAATCAATGGATTTATATATTTTTTTGTCATTATTATTGTTAGGTTGGAGCTTTTTAAAGGTCTTATTAAGCATCATATTAATAATCCTTACGGGGAAGTCATTCTTTATTAAAATATCACGCACTATGTTCTTCTGTTCATTATGGAAAATTTTGTCACTCAGTACTAGAACTCTTCTAATAAAATTGGATGCTGTATTTAAAATCACGTGTTTAGGATGATTGGAATTATACATAGTTAATTAATCTTCCTGACGCTGAAGACTTTTTATACCATTGAAAGTGAATTTGCTTATTATGTCTAATTAATTCAACATCTAAATAAGGAAGCCTGTTATTCTTTTCTTCTTCTATGGTGAATTTTAAATTTGTGTGAAAAGAATTCAAAATTTGAAGTATTTGAGTTATTTTATTTCTGCGTATTATCGCGAAGATATCATCTACATACTTCGTTAATAATCTTGGTTTATATTCCTGGTCATCCACACACTTTTCCAATAATTCTTCCATCACTATATCTGCTATAATGGGTGATAACGGTGAGCCCATTGGCATGCCTTTACGTTGTTTATAAATTTTGTTGTCTAGCATGAAGTAATTATTTTCTTTAAGACAGAAATTTAAAATTTCGAAGAAAAGTGATTTAGTAATCTTAGTGAATGTCTTAATTATATTCCACTTCTTTTCCAAAATTTTAATGGCTAGTTCAACCGGTATATTCGGAAATAAGGAAACTACATCAAAGGATACCATTATTTCATCATCGAATATATATGAATTACTGACCTTATTTTTGAAATCAATTGAGTCTTTAACATTATAAACCGAATGTATGGTCAGATTTTTTAAAATTGACGCTATATACCGACACAATTCGTATGATGGTGAGTTAACTGAAGAGCAAATAGGCCTAAGTGGCATATTTTCCTTATGTAATTTAGGTAACCCATATATTCTAGGTGGGTTGGCTGTATATGTACATAATTTTAGTTTTTCTGTTTTATTTATTATTTGATTATCAAAAAGTTTTGTGACTATTGTATTATTTTTAGTTTGTAACGTTGAAGTTGGATCTCTTCTGAGTATTCGGTATGTCATAATATCATTTACTATATTTTTAATTTCTTTGTCATAATGTTCTTTTTTTATAGCAACTGTTTTGTTGCCTTTATCAGATTTAAGTATTAAAATGTTTTTATTCAGTTTTAAAAATTTTTTCGCTTGTTCCACTGTGCGCAATATGTATTTTTCCATAGGAGAATGTGTTATTTGTCTTTTATACCTTTCAACCATACCGATAAGTTGTGTTCTCGCTATTTCTTGCTCTTCTTTATTTTCTAAAGTATTAATGCAGTCTTCTCCATCTGTTAAATACTTAAGATCTAAAAATCTGACCATACATTCGGTTTATAATGTTAAAGACTCAATTGATTTCAAAAATAAGGTCAGTAATTCATATATATTCGATGATGAAATAATGGTATCCTTTGATGTAGTATCCTTATTTCCGAATATACCGGTTGAACTAGCCATTAAAATTTTGGAAAAGAAGTGGAATATAATTAAGACATTCACTAAGATTACTAAATCACTTTTCTTCGAAATTTTAAATTTCTGTCTTAAAGAAAATAATTACTTCATGCTAGACAACAAAATTTATAAACAACGTAAAGGCATGCCAATGGGCTCACCGTTATCACCCATTATAGCAGACATCGTGATGGAAGAATTATTGGAAAAGTGTATGGATGACCATGAATATAAACCAAGATTATTAACGAAGTATGTAGATGATATCTTCGCGATAATACGCAAAAATAAAATAACTCAAATACTTCAAATTTTGAATTCTTTTCACACAAATTTAAAATTCACCATAGAAGAAGAAAAGAATAACAGGCTTCCTTATTTAGATGTTGAATTAATTAGACATAATAACCAAATTCACTTTCAATGGTATAAAAAGTCTTCAGCGTCAGGAAGATTAATTAACTATAATTCCAATCATCCTAAACACGTGATTTTAAATACAGCATCCAATTTTATTAGAAGAGTTCTAGTACTGAGTGACAAAATTTTCCATAATGAACAAAAGAACATAGTGCGTGATATTTTAATAAAGAATGACTTCCCCGTAAGGATTATTAATATGATGCTTAATAAGACCTGTAAAAAGCTCCAACCTAACAATAATAATGACAAAAAAATATATAAATCCATTGATTATGTTCCGAAATTGTCAAACCAAATAATGAATTCTAGTATATATGACAAGGAACGTTATAAAATTACTCATAAGGCAACAAACACAATAGCTAAATTATATAGCAATACGAAAACTAAAATTAATAATAAAGACAAATCTAATGTAGTGTACCAGCTGAATTGTAAAGGTGACGGGTACAATGTATGTAACAAAATATATATAGGTACGACTAAAAATAAGCTTAGGACAAGGATGGCTGGACATAAACACAGTTTAAAAAATAAAAGTGGTGCTGAAGCCAATACAGCATTGGCTGTGCATTGTATGGAGCATAAACATGAACCTGATTTTGATAAGGCAAAAATTTTATATGAAGAAAGGAACCATAACAAGAGGTACTTTCTAGAAATGCTCTCAATACTTCAAGTGCCCAATAATATAAGACTCAATTATAAAACGGATACGGACAACTGTGCTCAGGCTTATAGGAATATTATAAACAAATGACACAGGATGTTTGTAAAGCTTTTTTTGTTTTTTTTATAAAATTTTTTTTTTTTTATAATTTTAATTTTTCTTTTGTATTTTTATTGTTGTTTTTTCTCTTGTTGTCATCATTATTATTGTATTTATTGTATGATTTTTCTTTATAATCCGCTATAAAAATGTGAACATCCTATATTTTGTGTAGTTTTCCCTGAAGATGACTATCGAAGATAGTCGAAATATCGGAAATAAAATATAAACGATTTTTAAATATAAATAATAAATTAATGTCTTTTTATTTATATTAAAATTTGACCAATTAGCCCGGTAACAAATTATTATAATAATAAGTTTTGGTCACAAATATAAGTATTTAATATTTTGAAAATTAATATTGTTCATAATATCAATATACATATATATATATAACATAGTCATAATTATAAATATTATTTTTATAGAATATTTTATATTATAATTCATGCATAATATGTTAAGGAGAATAATATGTATAATGTATGTACATATATAAACTCACAATATTATTTAAAATTAATAATTGACTAGTACAATTGTTAAAAACAATTGTTCAA